CGATACGTCTTCGATGATTTTATTATCAATCTACTTCGTTAGTTTTCTAACTGTAAGTAAGTCAACACCACATTGCTTACCGAAAAAGACTAAAAAAATTAATATTAATATACGACGACCAAACTTTACGCGAGTATTTGATATCATGGCAATGATTCGCTGATTCATGACAAAGTCGCACTTCTTCTTTAAAGTCCCTTAAAGTCTTGGAAGCGTTCCGCAAGCAAGTACCACAGTTCTGTTTGTATTTTCAGGAGAAACACACGTCTAGCCACCACAAAAGTTCCAGTAAGTTGTCGCAGTCCCAGCAGTCTCACGCGACGTAGTATTCGGACACTGATAGAAGAGGATATCGGTAAAATGAAAAGAAAAATAATGGAAAGAAATCTTCAGGAAGCCCTCCGAAGTGACCTGATCAATAAATCCAGCGGAACGGAGGAACTCATTTTGCTTCGCTTCTTCGTCCTTATTGAAACCCGCGTCGAGACATCAATGGAATGCAGCTTTCGTCGTTATCCTCGTTTCTCGAGCTCGTCCCGGATGATCAAGAAGAAAACGAATCTTCCTCAATTATCTTTCGAGCTCCCCTCCACGACGTCCTCGAGGGAAAGTTCTTTCTCTCTGACGATCATCGTTCCCGGTTACTGCTGCACCGAACATCAATCAAGAAAGACGTATGCTTGGCGCCTTACGTTGGCCAAAGTTTGATGTAAATCAATCAGCAATACGATGCTTTTCGACTGCGAACAAAATGAAATGAAAATAATATTCTTACTCAGGTGAAATTACGCGATAAGTTATTAGAGGAAAGCAAACTTCACTTCGTCCTTGGTCATTGGAACACGCGACTGATCTTCACTTCGTTTCGTATCTGCACGTCGTTCGTTGTTACTTTTATCGTAAGAGACGTACTTTGTTTTCCCACTTTTTGCGGGAAAAAAAGCGGGTCAAACTTACGAAGGATCACGCCTTGCGTCGACGTAGCCCTCGGGGTCTTTTGTTTTTATTTTGTTTTTATTTAAAGTAGTTTGGACTAAATCGTAAATGTATCGTTTCATATTGGAAAAATCATTACGCAAACATGAGTTGTGCGCTAAGGAAGATGGATTTACATTACAATATCGCATAACCACAGATCCAAATTGGTTGACTCGACGTCGAAGAATCATTTACTTGCAACACGATACAAGGATATGTAGGTTTCAGATCTCGAGGGTTGCCGCACTTTTTTTTTTTCTATTTGTTATTCCGTTCAACTGCCACGTTTCTTTGCATCGATGAACGCAAGACAATGCATCGCCAACTTCACGGCTAGCAGATTGATCGTCGATCGATTCGTTAGACTGGGACGTCTTCAAGTGTAAAGCATTAGCGTAATCAGCGTACGTTTGACAAGTACAACTACGTGGACAAGTGTTCCTTGATCGTTCATTGGATCACAAGCGCGAGTGTCTTGTACCTTTTTTTTTTTTAACACTGATAAAGTATAAGGACACAATCATTTGTATCATCGTTTTTTAATGGTTTATTTCCCGATTTCTTACGCTCGTTGTGCATTTAATAACGATTTTGATACTCAGCTTTTTCAATCGGTTAGATCACACAAGAAATTTATCATGTATTTTACGATTCGTTCATTTTAATCAACGTATACGACATACAGTTTTGTTATTGTTAGTTGTATCGATAGTAGTTTAGCGTCTCCCATCATCGATACTTGGTTAAATATTAGTTTCCCACAGATTCGAGTGTCCAAGTCCCTAACGAGCGAATCGTTTGCGCGAACCAATTACCATGCACACGCATACTAAAAAGAAAAAAAAACATGGTCCATGTCCAATGATATTTATTCGTGCCGTTTTGTTATGTACATAGCCGAGATCATGCATAATATAGTAAGTAATTCGAATTATACTATCGCCATTTAGTATAAAGGACTATAGATAAAATAATTAATATTATTGTCAGACTGTAAATAAAATTATTTTGTATGCCAAAATAAACCAAATGAATGACTCGACACACACACACACACACACACAACGGTTACACGGCATCGCCTACATACATATATCCACATAAAGACGAATTACACACAGCACACAGATACGCAAGAATAGATACAAGTGGTACAAGTTATTACAGTACGCGCCATCGGACGAGACTACATCTACAATATCTTATGAAGCATGCGCATAGTTAGCGAACCACGGTTAATACTCGATTCTGTTCTTCGTAGGTATTATTTTTTAAGAAAGAAAATCGATAATAGAATCCCGTATTGCGAACGGCCGTGCGTACTGTACCGAGAATAGAAGTGTTGTCGCCCTGTTTTCACGCAGACATTTCGTACCGAGCATTTGTTGCGTTGCAGTGGAATCTCGATAATTGGCGAGGAATTGGATTAAAAGTGTTTTTATTCCTCATCTCTTGTACAAACAAAATGTTGCCCATCAGTCTAGAGTTAGATAATCCAATAAGATCTATTTCACACAATATGTCTCCATACATACTTGTTAAAATTTCACGCACGTTGTTAAGCGACCATTCACTCCACTTGTCGACAAAATGCAACGAACAAGATTCGTGCTGCAATCTTATCGCATTTATCGAGATTCCACTGTACACCTTAGCGAGGAGCGTGAACGTTTCAGCGTGCTCTCGTTCTTATAATAATAATATTAATATTAATATCAATAACATTAATAACGATAATTATAATAACACCAACAATGATAGTGGTAACGATATAAGGGCGCAAAAATGAAAAAAAAAAATTGAAAAACAACAATAACGGCGACACGTGTCCCCCATCGTTTGTGAACTTTTTAGCGAATTCACACACACCGTAGCCATTATTCTCTTCGTCGTTCTTCTTTCTGTGCATATCGGAGTTTCGCGCCGAGCTCGGGAAGCGTGCACCGGGGAAATGTATTTATTGATTAACCGATAAGCACGAATTATTGAATTCGTAACATAGAAATCGTGGATCGTAATCGACTATGTCAAATTGCCTTTTTGACGCGTTCGTTCAACGAAAATGTACGTTAGCAATAAATGTGTCCAGCGCCCTCGGCGCGATAAAATAACGTGCGAGCTCGTTCAAACAATACCGAGGGAATATTTTTCATTCTTATTACGATAGACGGATGGAACCGACGAGTCTATTTTATCGCGCCGACCATATGTATTTTCGTTAACGTCACGTGGCCGAGAGTAAACGAAAGTTCCACTTTAGAGGATACGAGAAATCTAAGAGTGCCGATTTCTCACACGTCCGCGATCGTCGAGACGCGTCGACGTCGCTTGTGTTTCGTTTGTGGAAAATATCGTGGAAAGACATCATCTCTTTTTCTTTCATATTCTCTCTTGGCTGTGTGGTACAAACGACGTTTATTGCTAATTGTTTTCAGTCAGCGAATAAAATGTGTATATCTATTTCAACAACTGTTTCAACAATTTAACCGGTTCAGCGACACGGAGAGTACAAGAATCTGTAAAATGGTATCGAAGGACGAGACGGCTATTCCGAATGGCGTAGTTTTTTTTTTTTTGTTTTTGGTCGTCGTCGAATTTTTTCGAAGTTCGAATCGGAAAGTTGAAAAACAGAAGATTAGTTGTATTTCTGAGAGCGAGAGAAGATTGGGGAAGGTAGAATTGTGCGTTTGAGAGCTTCCGTTTCTTTTTTCGAGCAAGAAAGCTCGATCGAGGTTCAGGAAGAGAGTTTTTTAAAGAAGCGAACGGGAGCTGATCGACAGAACCGTGTTCGCGTTGTAAATAAATTTATTCTTAAGGACTTAAACAGAAGCGACGATTCGTGGAGAGTGTATACTTATTATTATTATTACTATTACTATTATTATTATTATTATTATTATTATTATTATTATTATTATTATTAT